CCAGGCTCTGCCTACTCATGGCTCTCAGACAGTAAAATTACTTTTTCCTTTTTGAAAATTCAAATGAAAGGCAGTGTGTAAACCCCCCACTGATGGCTTTTCCACTGTGTAATTCAAGCCTTGTAGCCGTGGAAGGCAGCATGACACTTTAATTGCATATCTTGGACTTTTTCTTTTTTTCTTTTTTTTAACTGAATCTCGGTCCACATCAGAACACCTTGTTTTTAAGCAAAAAAATAGCCATTGTAATGTGAGATAGAAGTTGTGTACATAAACAGTCTTTTTATTCAGAGTCCTTTTGTCAAAAAGAAATGGAGAAATGTTTGTATTGAAAAAGCAGCCTTGCTATCAAGATGAAAGCACCGGTGAGCTGAGTGTGCAGACGGCAAAGGTTTTTGCTACTGGATTCAAGACCCACACATACAGCTGCATTGCAATAGAATAAAACAATCAGCAGTACAAAAAATATTACTGATATGATCCCATGCTGCTCCAGCAGATATGTACTGACAACAAAAACAGCATAAGCCATAAAAGGTTATTTCTGAAGAGCCTGGAAGTTCAGAGTGTTGTATGTATGAATATTGATGAAAAAGTTAAATGAAAGGAAAAAATGTGGTAAATGCTAAAAAAAAAACAAAAAAACAAATTAGGTTTAACTGGAGCTTAATTGGTGATTAATAGATTTTTGATGGTGGTGTCAGTTGCAGGAGTTTGACTTTCAGTGTCGTCGTGTCCTTGGGCACGACATTTCACCTGCATTGCCTACTGATGGTGGTTGGATGGTGGCTGCCAGTGTACGGCAGCCTCGCTTCTTTCAGTGAGCCCCAGGGCAGCTGTGGCTACAATGTAGTTTGCCAAAATGTGTGTGTGTGAATGGGTGAAAGACTGAATGTGGTGTAAAACACTTTGGTCAAGTCCTCTGACTTGGGAAAAGGGCTATACAAGCACAGGCCATTTAACATTTATGATTTAGTTTTGTACCTGGAACCGTGATCCTACCACCTATGTCGCAAGACTATTTTCTGGATAGCTCTGGATCTCATGAAAGAAGTACCTTAGAAGTTGGCTACCGTAATTTTCGGACTATAAGCCGCACCTGAATATAAGCCGCAGAAGCTAAATTGCATGATTTGTACATATACAAGCCGCACCAGACTATAAGCCGCAGGTTTTTTATGTTTACACACAGACTGTCTTGCGCTCGCCATGTCCGTCTTTCTCGCTGTTGTTCTGTCTCGTACCACTCGTGGTAGAAGTCTGCTTCCGGAGGACCTCCTTATTCCCGTGCGCGTGGCTACCGTACTTGTGTGTTGAAGCAAATGTGACGTCAACATGGTGGATGGTAAAATCCATAGATTTAAGTATTACCCTAGTGGCCGTTAGCTGTAAAAGTCCATAGATAAGCCGCATTGTTATATAAGCCGCAAGGTCGAAAAATGGGGAAAAAGTCGCGGCTTATAGTCCGAAAATTACGGTACATGTCTAAACATTTTCTGTTGTTTCCAATATCACCAATCTGGGATCTATCTAACCTGACATAAAGGGGGGCAATATCGAGCTTTTTGAAGAGGGGACATATTCAGAGATTACATTTGGATACATTTTTGGCATCTTTAAATCCCGTAAATTTTTTATTTTTTTTTATTATTTTTTTGGTATTTTTTAAGATCTCAACATTTGACCCATATTTAAGAAAATCAACTTTATAGCTTTCTTGAAATGTAAAAGGTTGAACTGTATGTGTATTTGAAAAACATAGATTGGAAAAGAAGGACTTTAATATGACATAGTAGTAAATCAATTTACTCTGAGTTAATGAACATTTGTCAGAAAAAATAAGCATAAAACCGCACTAAATTTTTAAAAAAATCACACAACATATGTAATTTTCTGCTTTAGCAGAGGGATTTTTTTATAGCAATCCTAAACTTTTTCATCTTCGCTACTAACAAAGACATAGAAAGCTAAGTTAAGGTTATTGTAAACCTATTTTGTTTGTCGTAAATTATCTTAATTTTAAGTTACCTGTAAACTGTGCTGTTATCTTATTGATATTCAACTATTCTAGGATGAAGCCCCCGGTGTTATAAAACCCTAACAATGCCTCACATTGTAAAAGCGTGGGTTTGACTCCCTGCTGCTCCTGCCACAATTCAATTGACTCCAAGCTGCTGATCTAAATTCATTACAGAATCTATTGGGTATCATAAAGAAGCTTTAAAAACACTCAACCCAACAATGCAGGAGAACCAAAAGCTGCCGCCTCAGCAGTGATGCAGGCTGACTTACCTCTGTGCAAAAGGAGCCCAACCAAGTGTTGAACAGCTATTGTCTCTTATTCTAAAATCTTCAAGGTGAAATGGTAAAAAAACAAACAATCATTTAAACTGCCTTTTTAAGACATTAAACTACTATTTTGCACCCTTTAGATCAGTCACTAAGAGTACATTTTATCTCTTGGGTGATATATATATATATATATATATATATATATATATATATATATATATATATATATATATATATATATATATATATATATATATATATA